TAGAACTCTCCTCCGGCGTTTACCACATTTTGATATTATCCACTATAATAAAAGGGCAGTTCGCAGTTTTCATCATCTCGATTGTAATAGGCTTAGAATAAGTGTAAAGCCGCCTTAATAGTCCCATCAATATTCAGTAGTAGCTATGTGTCGTTCACAGAGTGAACGACACCAGATAAACGTCAAGCGTATTCATTGAGTCGATTGTACAAGGGAGTCTTTGGACGACAGCGAGTGAGAGTGGTTCTAATAAAGTGTATTGCATAAACCATTCGTATCATAGTTCAACTTTTCTCATTACAACTCTGCGAACAGGATTGAGCAAGAAATTGTTCAGCCGAATTATTCAGTTTATTCAGTTAAAGGCATTAATTTATTTTTTTGCGTTGATAATTGGAAGTGATTTCGTTGAGAATTAAATTGATTGCATCGTCAAAATTGGCTTAGGAACGAACATTGGAGACACATCGTTCACGTGCATTCATCATTGTATTCAGCCGTTCTGTTAATTTAATCGGATTGCATCAGCTTCATCAGCTTGCGAAAAACAATTTGCACAAAATATTCCGCACGTTCAGTCATCGTATTTATTGTATTTCATCGAATTTCGTAATAATATTCAGTATATCATCGATAAATTGTGCAATTGGCATCGATTCGTATTCAGTACCGTTTTGAGTTCTGTGGCAACATAACCTCAAATTGAGTTTAACATTGCAATTCCGTATACTCGCTTCTTCTGAAAACGTGCTCATCGATTGACTACTACGATTGAAGCGCTATGGATCGAAAATTAAGCAAAAAAGAAGTGAAGTTTGTTCAGCAATTAGGCGTCCACGCCGACGAAAACACATTCTTTTGAAACACAAAGATTCCGATATTGAGCAACGTATTCAGAGTGAGAAGGACAAATTGAAGTCGTACGCATCGAAAATTGACCGTTTACGCAAGGAATTGTCGATAATTGAACATCTGCAAGAGATTGCGAAATTGAATTTGAGCCTGTTGGAAGTGACCTTGTCCGAAACGAATTCCGAGTGTGACCCTTCAGCAACCAAAACAGCCGCTTCAAGTGACAAATCGATCAATACCTCTGTTCCGAATCGTAAGCCAAGTGAGAAACCGATTCAGAAATTGCCCAACACATCAAGTGGCCCACAAGTTCAGAGCATGTCCGACGTTCAGTGCTTTAATTGCTCAGATTACGGTCATTATTCAGCAAATTGTACCAAGAATCGCCGTGTAAAAGGTTCCTGTTTCAATTGTGGATCATTGCAACATATTCTGAAAGATTGCCCATCGAAAGCGAGCACCAGTGGAGCCCGTTCAGCCAACCAATTCCGACCGTACAGATTGACAAAGAGCACCGTTCAGCACGATTCCGATTCAGAGTGGAGCAACTAGCTAACCAATTCAGATTTTCGTAATTTTTTACTTTTCCTTCAGTGATTACACTAAGGCTCGAAACATTATCATTAGATTTCGACGTGTAATAATTTAAATTCAGTTAATTAATTTGTTTTCTTTTCAGTTCAAATAATTAAGTTCAGATGAATTTTTTTAAGATATAATTTTCATTTTCTTAGATTGACTTGAGAATAATTATTCAGAAATGTTATTTTTAGTTAAGAAAAATTTCGGATTGCATTCAGACTCATTTTAAATTGATTTGGAAATTGATTCAAACTTTAATTCAGACATTTTTAATTTTTTTTTTCAATTGAGCGAAATTATATCGATACGCACATAATTCAGAAATGTAACTTTTGGTTAAGAAATGTTATTTTTTTAGTTAAGAAAATTTCGTATGGCATTCAGATTCATTTTGAATTGATTTGGAAATTGATTCGAACTTTAATTTAGACATTTTTTTCAGTTGAACATACTTGAAGTTAAGCAAATTTTAAATTGACTTTGTTTCAGAAATTTTGTTGAATGAATTTTTAATTCCGAAAGAATTTTTTTACATTGAAATATCGCACATCATTTTGAATTGCACAATTGATTGGGACAATCAAATTTAAAAGGTTTTGAAGTTAAGAGGACCAAAGCATTCAAGTGCTATTAAGATTAAGTGTTATTAAGTTGAAAGAAAAATTGTGATTAAGATTGCGAATTGATATTGTTGATTAAGAATAGTTTCCGATTCCCTAATTGAACATTGTAATAGCGATAAGAATTCTTCTGAAAAATTAATCGATTGAATCATTGTGATCGGGACGATCAATTGAAAAAAGGGGTCGAGCTGTAATAGGCTTAGAATAAGTGTAAAGCCGCCTTAATAGTCCCATCAATATTCAGCTGATTGCGTTTTTACACATTTATTTTGTTTTCGTCCCGTTGTTGAAGCAAACATTTTGAGAGCAAATTATTCGGGTCGTCCATTAGTAAAACGCTTTGAATTGGTATTCAAATCGATTTTTATACACTTTTCTATTATTTTTCGGACGCATTACACATTTAATCATAAAAATGGCTGAAGGTGGAAAGTCAAAAATGGATCTTTTTCGAGAGAATTTACAAGCAATTTCCGAGATTTTGGAACAAAATAAGAGCAGCGATCAGCAGCAAGCCGTGAATTTGAATCAACTCGGACAATTGGGCGAACAATTTGAAAAAGTATTCACAGCGTCAATGGATTTATTCAATGAGCGCCTGGATAAAATGCAAGTGGAGATAAATGCAATCGCACGCTATGTTAACCACCGAAATGAAAATATCGAGAATGAGCATATTTTTCAAGGAAACGATCACCAAATGAGGCAGAATCCATTTTATCATCAACACGAATTGAACGAGGACGAGGATCAGCAACCAATGAATCGCGAAGTGCATGCACCAATACAAGCACCATTACAGCGCGATAACATGGTAATCGCTGACGCATTTACACAGATGATGGACAGTCAACGGCATCATAGAAATTTGGAAAAATTTGAAAGAAATTTGGATAAAATTGTAACTTTCAACGGAGAATCATTTGATAATCTCCAGAAGTTTTTAACCACAGCGACGATAGCCCAAAGCAAAATAAGAACTGCTGAGGAAGAACAGATGTTTTTCGACGAATTGAAAAGAAAATCAAATACCGAGGTTCTGGGTATCATCACTGAATGCGATCGCGATTGGAATGAAATCTCTGAAAAAGTTGCAACGAAATACCATTTCTTAAAAAAGAATACGGATCTTTTGCGTTCGCAAATTGATAATCTAAAACAGAAGAAGAACGAATCCATCCACGAGTACGGTGAACGTGCTAGAAAGTTGGTGCAGGACAGAAGCGCATTGTACAACAATGATGAAATGCGATTGGAAATTTCGAAGGGAGCTGCGAAATCATTCAAGAAGGGCATATCAGATTCAAAGATAAAAAATATCATCATGAACAGAGCGACGCGAGACATCAACGAAGCAATACGTGAAGCAATGGAAATTGAATCTGAAGTCGCGGACAGCTCACAAATCAAGGCTGAAGACATGTATTGTAGGCTTTGTAAAAAAACCGGCCATATTTTTGATAATTGCAGAAAAAAGCCAGAAGGGGGCGACGATATCGCTCGAATAGTAAATATTTTGGGCGCAATAGGAGTGAATTCGCAAAATACGTTTAAAGGAGAAAATAATAATGACGCAAATGTAAATTTCATATCAACAGAATATAATACAATTGGAAAAATGCATATTTTTGAACCACCATTAAACAAACACAGTTTGATATATTTAAGAAAACAGACAAAACTGTATGTAATTACGAATAACGAAGAAATGGGAAAGTTAATATCAGAGACAGGGGTAAATTTACTGCTACTGGAATTGGTCGAAGAAACCGAAACCACATTTTTACACATTATTTACTCATGTATCATTTCAATAACAACAACAATAATCCTTTTAATTGCTGTAATCATTCTTTTATACAAAAAGATGTTCAATGTAAACACATGGGTTGGAGTAACCTCGAAGATGATTGAAAAATTAGCTAAAGAAAAATAGTAATTAGTTCAGAAATCAAACAAAAACACTAGAAAATACAAAAAAAAATGAATATAATTTATATTATATATATAGATTAGATATAGGTTAAGTTTTTTTTCATGTAATTCTGAACTTTTTCGGGTGGAAGGAATATAGCCGGAGAGCGCATGCACCTATGTATTTATCATACACATATGC